TATAAATTGCCATAAATTTGCCAAAAAAAATCATCTGAGAGCGTGAAATTTAGCATACTATGCACATATGATGAATTACACACTGGTCAGATGAACGGAGCTACAGTATCAAAAGTGACGAAAGACTTCTATCTATTGCTCGCTGGCAGAGAAGATGGAATAATAGTGAAAAAGGAAGATGGACCCACCGTTTGATCCCAAACCTTGCGGTATGGCTAGGAAGGAAGCATGGCCAAGTAGACTTCTCTTTAATGCAAGTGCTCAGCGGTCCTGGATGCTTTAAAAGCTATCTGCACCACTTTGGTCATAAAGCGGATCCATACTGCGAAGTTTGCGGCCCAGATTTTATAGAAGACGCCGAGCACACAATATTCGTCTGCAGGCGATCCGCGAGGCACCGACTTGACGCCAGAAACTCTTGTTAAATGCATGCTGGAAAATGAAAATGCCTGGAATACAGTTAGCAGAATTGCAGCTGAAATAAAGCAGCATTTGCGATGGAGCGAACAGCAGAGGCGAAGGCGCGATAACAGTGCACCAGCGACTGACACTGATGTGGACCAGGTAACTTACGTACTGGATACATAGTGACGAGCACTGAAACCGAGACGGTTGACAAATAATGACGACTAACTATATCGACCCAGACTATTGAGCTAATAGCTCCAACGGCTCCTGACGAAATACTGAAAGGTAGTACCAGGTGTTACCGTACGGGTGAGGTGGTTTTAGTGGGTTAAAGTCTCAGACTGACGGGGTTAAGGCTTTCGATGCTTTCCATCTCAACAAAAAAAAAACACTGGTCAGCTGACTATAAGGACTATAACATAAAGCACCGATTTGTTCAGAAATGAAAATTTGGAAAAAAAAATCCGTCCAAAAAGCATCTGCAAGCGTGAGATTCGGTACTCTAAACACGTTTACACAAATAAATATTGTCAGCGAATATCAAGGAAATCTGACGACTGCGGTATATAGTCTCCATACAACCGACTTTTTCAGATATACGATTATGGGGCAAAGACTCGTCGAAAAACCTTCAAAGAGCATACAATTTCGCATAAGAACTTAGGCATGGCCGAAGACAGTTCTACTTTTGTTAATCCAATTTCGCTTTTCACTTTCAAGAGGAAATCTTACATTCTTAAAGTCTTGCTGGACGCGCTTAAACATTTATTTAGCTCGCGTTGGGAATTTCAATGCATCGGTGGAGTTCTTAATATTTACTCAAACTATTGGGTTGCCCAAAAAGTAATTGCGGATTTTTCATATAGTCGGCGTTGACAAATTTTTTCAAAGGCTTGTGACTCTGTTTTAGCTTGCTTTAGAAAAAAAGTGCGCGAAATTTTGTTTACATTTGTTTGTTTGGCGTCAATTTTAATATGGAGCCCACAAAGGAGCATTTTCGTCATATTTTACTTTATTATTTCCGTAAAGGAAAAAACGCGGAGCAGGTTGCTAAAAAGTTACGAGATGTGTATGGTGATGAAGCCTTAAAAGGAAGACAGTGTCAAAATTGGTTTCGCAAATTCCGTTCTGGAGATTTTTCACTTAAAGATGAGCCACGTTCAGGTCGGCCAAATGAAGTTGATGATGACCAAATCAAAGCATTAATCGAATTGGATCGTCATGTAACTGAGCGTGAGATAGGAGAGAAGTTAAATATACCAAAATCAACCGTTCATTATCACATAAAAAGTCTTGGACTGGTGAAAAAGCTTGATATTTGGGTACCACATGTATTGAAAGAAATTCATTTAACACACCGAATCAACGCTTGTGATATGCACCTTAAACGCAATGAATTCGATCCGTTTTTAAAACGAATCATAACTGGAGATGAAAAATGGATTGTTTACAACAACGTTAGTCGAAAACGATCATGGTCCAAGCATGGTGAACCAGCTCAAACCACTTCAAAGGCTGATATCCACCAAAAGAAGGTTATGCTGTCTGTTTGGTGGGATTGGAAGGGTGTCGTATATTTTGAGCTGCTTCCAAGGAACCAAACGATTAATTCGGATGTTTACTGTCAACAATTGGACAAATTGAATACAGCCATCAAGGAGAAGCGACCAGAATTGGTCAATCGTAAAGGTGTCATATTCCACCAGGACAACGCTAGACCGCACACATCTTTGGTCACTCGCCAAAAACTGAGTGAGCTTGGCTGGGAACTTTTGATGCATCCACCATATAGCCCTGACCTTGCACCATCAGACTACCATTTATTTCGATCTTTGCAGAACTCCTTAAATGGTAAAACTTTCGGCAATGATGAGGCTATAAAATCGCACTTGGTTCAGTTTTTTTGCAGATAAAGGCCAGAAGTTCTATGAGCGTGGAAACTAAATTTGCCACGAAGATGGCGAAAGGTTATCGAACAAAATGGCAATTATATATTTGATTAAAGTTCATTCTAAGTTCTATTAAAAATGCATTTACTTTCTTTTAAAAAAACCGCAATTACTTTTTGGGCAACATTACATTATTTCTTTTGTGTCAATGTTATTAATTAAGATGTCTCACATGACAAGCTGAATACCGTACCTGTGAAAAAAGAGCAAAAACAACTACACAGAAGCACAAAGCTCATCCTTACAGCATGCGCAACTCTCAAGCATACATATGTACATACATATCTATATTGTTTATACTCGTAATATGTCTTAATTACGAGGCTGTAGTTAGCCATGTGATCAACGCGTGGACCACGTTCGCCACTAATTCGTGCAATTTGCTACAGCAACCCACACAAGCGAGTATTCATATTTATATATTTATGTAGGTATGCCTATTAATATGTCTCATAAAAAACCATTAAGGTTAACGTGCCTTTTCACTCAAGCGCATACATATGTATGTATGTACGAGTATATGTATAAAAACCAGCGGCATTAAGTATCCATAATTATAGCAACAACATACACACATACATACAAATATCTAAGAACAGCAAGCAACAGCAACAGCAATAACCAGAAGCTCCTGAGGTTGGCACACAACCAACACGCTTTTATATAAAAAAAAGGACCTTTTACTCCAATTAATAACAATAATATGCGCCCTCTATGAGTGTACATACATACAAGTAGGCAAAGGACGCGGGTGTGCGTAATAAATAAAAAAGTAACGAAATAAAAAATGTTGATCACTCGACGATCATCGCTGATCATCACACATTATTGTAGCATGAAAAAAGAAATGATAACAAAATAAGCAACGTGTTGTGTTAATTCACGACAACAACAACTAGTTAAGAAAGAGCACTGAGAAGCTATGAGTTAGAGTTAAACTCTATGCCAGAGTTTGAAAAAAAAAAAAAATCCAATACTTGCAGCAACATACGGTGCTGTACAACAGCCAATTTGGTTAGGTGTGGAAGGACATACATTTAATGCTTTTAAATACCAACAAAGCATTGTCGAATTGCTTACCACGTTCCCACGGTCGCACAAAGGATCAGCACAGCTAAGCAGCAACCAATAAACTATACCAACTACGTGTATACAGAATTGATTGGAGCGACATGAGGCCAGCAATACTATTAAATTACAGTGCACATTTTCAATATACGTATGTGCATATCCTTATGAACGAGCGATTAAGGAGCGCAGCACAACAAAAACACTACACTACATTCGGTAAATGATTTTTTTTTTATATTAAGAACATTTTCGTTTCAATTTTTTTTTCCTTAAACATTGCAAAACTCCTTTATTTACGAGTTTTTTTCTACTTCTCTTCTTCTTCTTCTTTTTGTTGTTTTATGCTCCTCTTTAATGCACCAATAAATTGTTTATGCCATTGAAGCGCTGAAAATCGAAAATATTCTCCCACGATCGTTTTTCTACATAGAGTTTGCATTGGACGCACCGAGACACTTTATAAAGAGTCAGTCCTTAAGGATCCTTAAGGAATACGGTGCACACGTGTTCGATAAAATTTCTATACGCTGCGTGCTTATACAAAATTTATGCACGATTTGCTGCTAAGTAATGCTCCGGGAAAAAAAATTATGCTTGTTGTTGTTTTTTTTTTTTTTGAACAGGACACTGGGGCACCAGTATTCATGCACATGCATATACATACGTGAATGTGGAGCATACAAAAACCAAAAGTGATCATTAAATCGTCCAAGTGTTCACCTCAAAAACAAAAAAAAAAAAAACAAAAAAAATAAAATAAAAGAAAATAAAAGAAAATAAAAAATAACAACAACAACAAAAGCAATATTTAAAATTGTATTGAAAAAAACCAGAGAAATGAAAAGAAAATAAGTAAAAAAAAATCACTAAACAGAAAAAAATTGTTTGATCCTTAAGGCTGATGCAAAGGAATCCTCTTCCAAACCTAATAAAACTTACAAAAAAAAAAAAAAAACACGCACGGCTTGCATTCAAAAGTGTGGGAACATGACCGTACACGAGTTTCACACGATCCGAGAGACAGGATAAGAGCAGACTCCGACCTGAAATGAATTACTTTCATGCCCATTATCCTTATGGCATACTCGCATTGTCTGTCTACAACAACGTCTCCACCATAACCTCCTCCTCCTCCTCCTTCTTCTGCTCATCCTCAGCACAAAAGTCTACCACACTCACAGGTGCGAGCGAGTAAAGCTGCTTTGTCGCTCTCACTCTCGCCGCTGCAGGTTGAATCTCACACACCAGCCAGCTAGCCAGCCTCTCATCTGTGCTCACTCACTGTCTGTGTCACGTAAAACGCACCTGCCATTTTTTATGTACGGATTTTTCCAATCTGCTTTAGCTGTTTGTGTTGATCCTGCTGACGTTCCCACACTCTAGCCGACAACGAGTGCGTTGTGCTGACTTGTTTATGCGTACTGCTGGAATTTCATAGGAGACGGTATCTCTTCGACTTGCTGAGTCTTTTCACTAACCTGCCATATGCGCTTGTGTTGTTGTGCTCATGAACTGTTGGATTTTGTATAAAAGGCGAGTCAACGACAGGACTAAACATCATTCAAGCGATAGCATTCGTACAGTGAGCAACACAGCACACAGCACACAGCACAATATAGCAGAGTTTAGCTGAGTCTTTGAATATTTCGTATATTTTTAAAGCAAAAGCAAAAGAAAAACAGAAAATCAACAAAATGTACACAGTCGAGTACGAGAACAACATGAACATGAGCGCCGAGCAGAAGCAACAGAAGAAAGCCAGCTATAGCATTAAGCGTTTGCTGAAGCAACTCTTCAAACAACACAATAAATCACAAGCACAGAAGCAGCAGCAACAACAAGCATTAATCGAAAATTTCGAGAATACAAAGAAGGCCAACTCTCTGGAATCACTCGAGTCATTGGAGAATTCACGCAATGCCGATCTGGAGTCTGAAGCTGAATGCATCTCTCTTGAGTCCACAGAGAATGATGCTAACGAGCGTTTGGCCGCCTCTTGCGAATTGGAAGATTATGAATTTGCCGATATCACCACCGTACCAGTACATTTTCTACGCACAGCTCATGGCACCTTCTTTTGGACCGCCAACAGTGATATGCCCGCTGATAATGATCTTATCGAACCATTGTACTGCAGCACTGGCAATCAAATCGCCACAAGTCAAATGCAAGATCGTTGGGCACAAGCTTAGTTGGTGTGTGGAGCGTGAAGCGGAAAAGTGGTGGTGATAGAGCAACGATGATGATGTCTTCCAGATCTACACATATTAGATCATGCTGAGAAACGAAAAGCTTTATTTCTTTGTGATATTTTGAAAATATTTATGTTGTATTGAAAAGAATTTTTAAATTAATATTTACAATTATTTTTACAAAACAAATAATTATTAAAATATATAGAAAACAAAAACAAAAAAACTATTGTCTTCTCATTTGACGTTTGGGTTGAGTTTGTTGCTTCGCTAATTGCTTTTGTATTTTTGAATCGGTCTTTATTTTGGTTGTTTATTTTGTTGTTGTCATATTGAACTACTTTCGAAGGTCATAATCTTTTTTTATAGGATTTTCTCTTGACAACAGTAAGTATTGAGCCGATAAAGCAAGAAGTCTAATGTGTTTTGTCTCACAAAGGAACTGCTGAGGTTATTGACTGCATTCGAAAGTGACGTTCGAACAAATTTTCAATTCTTCAATCAGGTGTACAAAATAACGAATAAAAAGGCTGATGCATGGTTGAAAAACCAAAAAACAAAAAATAAAAAATCTGGGGACAAAAAATTGAAGGAGAGCGAAAGGCAGTCAAGAGTTCGAAAAGTATTGCAATCGCTTAATGCCTCACATCCGATTAAAACCGAGCATCAAATGAAGCCCATAAACGAAGCCTAAAATTGTTAAAAAAAAATACCCAGAAATACTTTTCACTCATTTTTAACGAAACGCCCCAACATTCTGGTTAATGTTGGAACATCACTTCGTTCATATGGCTGCTGCGGCTGGGATTGCATAGTCCATTCTTTTCTGTCTGTCGACCCAATATTCCAACATATTTTCCTTTGTGTGCCATAGAGGTTTGATTTGCCGCATTTCAGATCTAGAATAGCCTCTGGATAATTGGTAGAACACTTCTCGCTAGCAAAAAATAGTCCAACGTAGTCGAATCGCATTTGTAAGGCGACCCGTGGACATCGTTGTTCCGGCTTAATATGCGATTTTCGATTTCAATTCGTAAAAAATCGAAGCCTTTCTCCCGACTCATCAGATGTTGTCATCGTCCATGCCTCCGCAACATATAGCAGGACGGGAACGATGAGAGATTTGTAGAGTTTGGTTTTCGTTCGCCGATAGATAAATTGCCTACTCAGTCCATAGTAGCACCTGTTGGCAAGAGTGTTACTGCGTTGAATTTCCAGGCTGACATTGTTGTTGGTGTTAATGCTGGTTCCTAGATAGACGAAATTATTTATGACTTCAAAGTTATGACTGTCAACAGTGACATGGGACTCACGGTGAACGCCAGCTGCTCTTATAGAATATTGTACCTTCTCTATTCAGCTCTGCTGCTCTTATTATTCTCTCCACCATCAAATTGATGAAATCACACACTCACTAGATTCGGAATTAAGACACCAATTAAACAATTCTCAACTAACTTTGAGTGGTCATACTTCTGGAATGCGTTATTCGATTCTATCGCGATAAAGCTTTTCTGATGGCTCAGTGTATGAGTATGTTAAATAAAAAACAACCAAGGAAAAAATGTCCTGCCGGCTACTTTAATTTTTGCTCTAACACGCGAGTTTAGAGCACTTTTACCCCATTGTGCATCGACTTGGACGCTTCGCCACAAAATGTGAGGCGTTCATGGGATAGAGGCGGGGTTAGAAAGGGAATATTTTACGAATTTCTCACGAAAGCTCTAGAATATATATACGACTTTATCAGATCGTATGAAAAGAGACCGAATTTAGCTTTATTTTAAACACTTGACGCTCTGAAAATTTTTTAATACTCGTTACATTTATTTGACCGTAGATATTGTAACCATGGTTACCGGCTCGACTGAAATTTAGATAGCATTTAACGCGTTCTTTTGATCATACAAGCATTCGCAGTAAGACAAGTTAGAAAAAACCAGCACAGCCAGCTGGGATTGGGTCGCGGGCGATCTCACGAGTCACAGTTAAATTGATTTGGTTATTTATTTGAATTTAATATATTTGTCTGATAAGTGCGGACCCAAAAATATTAAAGTAGGCTTAAATTTGGTAAAACTTGTATACATTTTTCTTTCACGAAAATGTTAATATGGATGCGAACGTTTTATTTTGACATCTTAATATAACAAACTTAACGGTCAGACTAAACATATTTTATTTAAGTTTAAAGTCAGGAATTTGCTCGTTTCACCTTAAATAACCCTACAGTAAGTGAAAGTGTAGCCTATTTCTTGATCTTCTGAAGAGCTGGAACATTATGGTATTTTGCACTTGAACTAACACCCACATCCATATAAAGTCCAGTTCATAGATCAACTGAAGCAAGTTCACCATCTTTCACTATTCGAAATTGGCGCAGTCGTGGCTCTGAGAATACTCAAATAATTGAAGAGAGCCCATCACACCTAAAATAACATATTTTCTGTTGCGCTCTTTGTTCTGGAGTTATGATTCAGCCTTACTTCTGTGGAAACGACAAGAGCAAGCTTGTCACTGTTAATTCGGCACATTTTTTTGGACCGCATTTGAAGAAATTGACTTGGACAATATGTGGTTTCAACTAGAAAAATTTCTTGTTCTCGTAAACTCTCGTCTTGATTACTGAGATCTTCATATTTGACAGGGTTGGATTTTTTTTGGGGGAGCTACGCGAAAGACCTTGTTTATACGGAAAACTCCTTAACTCTTGAGCACTTGACACCCAACATCCAACATTCGTTTAGTTATGACTGAGATACCATTCAATATGTGCCAAAAAGTGAACGAAAATTACCTCAGGGGATAGAAGTTCGCCAAAATTTGGGAGATCATTTAAATGATGTGCTATTGCATATAATAATGATGGTGAGAAGGTTCAAGCATTATAATTAAAAAGGAATTTCCTAGAAAAACTACATTAAATGCATTCATTGTATTATTATTTTATTTTCGAAACCGCAAAATAGATAACCCTATACCCCCTTTTAGAAAAACATGAATCGAAATTAGAGTGTTCGTCGGTTAAAAATCTATCAAATTGAAGAAACGAAAATAGACATACATATGTACATACATATGTATGTATATATGTACATATTATGAGAAAACAATATTAATTAATTAATTTAATTTACCAAAATTGTTTATGTTTTGCAAAGTGAAAATATTAATGATAAATTTTATAATAAATACACACAAGTCATATTCACGTCATTTCAAAAAATTTTTATCACACTGCGCATGTGCAAATATGTTATTTGTGAATTAACAACGCCGAAACCAATTTGATAATTTCTAAATTGATTTCTCCATACTTATTTTTCATAATTCCACTAGAAAATTGAATTAAGCGATTTCCACTTTTCATTTACTGTCCTCTTCCTCTCTCTTTCCTTTCCTCTCTCTCACTTTCCCTCTGTAATTCAAGTACAACCCATTGAGATATTAAATCATTAATTAATATTGGTGAAGAGCCACAATTCTATAATTACTGCTAAAAACTAAAAAAAAAAAAAAAAAAAAAAAAACAAAAAACACATTTCTTTTGTTAATTTCCGCCACAATAATATTTATAATTATTTTCTTAACAGCACACAAGTAGCTCACACTGTGTTCTCAATAAGATTAGCAGCCAGTTAAAAACATAGCTACAAACATATACTTTTGCCTACCTTAATACATATGTATGTGTGTATGTAAATACTTAATTTAACTAATCTTTCGGTTCATTGTCTTTCAATTAGACGGCAACCACTTAGCATTTCCAATTGGGTTCCCTGTAATTTTAATGCCTCCTTCCAATTAGTCTAATTGCTATGCTGCTAATGCCTATGGCCACTGACAGATGTCGCTAAGGGTATTAATTTTACTAGAATTAATGCGAAATAAAATTAAAAGAAAAATATTTTGATTTTAGAAATTAAATGATTGACGCTTTTAAACTGCTGAAGCGAATTTCGGACGAGCTTCTACTTGAATTTGTCTAATGTGTCTGCGCCAATTACCGTGGGATAAGCCACCTTAATATCGCCTATAAAGTTCTGTCGAGATGATCGAGAAGAGTGTTTGCCCGGATTAAGAAATTAAAATAGAATGTAGTATTGCTCGGAAATTTTATTTTTGTACTTTACTTTTATTGTTATTTTTTATTTTTATTTTTACTTTTATTTTTTACGGTTGAAGTGAAGAACAATGCCTACCGCATCGTCGTTAGAGTTTCCTTTCCTTTGCCCTCACGTGTTGTATAAACAATGCTTCCTTGGTCTCTTTGTTACTGAGCGTCCAGTGTTACTATTCTTTTCGGCGGCCAAGAGGACGATGGCGCGATTTCACTTATCAAAGCTTTAGCTTCATCTGATACTGAACTATCGCCATCCTCAAAGCTGCTGCACGGAATACCTTGTATGTCATTCTTTTTAAGTGATTTCGCCCCTGACCCGATTCCGAAGAGTAAAATATGGAAAGTTGTCGCCTTTAGAAGCTTTTTTCTGGATTAGTCCTCCGATGTTAGCCATCAACCTGTTAGGCTGAGATATGCCTTTGGAAGCTTTTCCGTGGCGTGCTGGATTTGAACGTCTAGACTCGTTGCAACTTCCATCATTAAGCCATCTGGTGCAGGCTTTTTGTTTTGTTGAAACCCAGTTTCAGCATGAGTTTTGCCATAGACAGAGGTGCACCCGCAACGTGAGTATAATTTATTGTAGTTAGAGTGGCATTTCTTTCCGGAAGCTCATTCGCTGCACAGTTGCCTATAATGCCCCATTCACAGGTACCCAGGCCACGATTGTGCAGTATCTAACGAGCTACCACTAAGAACTTCGGCATTTAGACTCTATTTTCAATGTGCTGTAACTGCATTGAAGAGATCTGATGACTATTCGAGTATATGCTGATTGATTGATTTGTAACGAGCAACTACAGTGCCACTTCCGTGATTACAATAAGTTCTATTTGAAAACTTTGCAGTAGTGTGGTATATTCAAATTAAAATGGGTTGAGAGCGCTGGTGAGTGAATTCCACAGCTTACCTTTTCATCGAGCTTAAAACCATTCGTGAACTACACCAGCGGGGTATGGGTTCAAGGATGTTCCCGCGGTAAGGCATGCCTGCCGTAAGACGCGATTCAAATCCCATAGTTTCTACGATAGACGGGCCTTTATATCGGAGCGACTCCGACCATGGAATGTCTCTCCCGCAAAATTTTCGAAAAATTACTTCCGCGAATTTTTTTTTCAACAACAACAACAAGATGACTATGCCGTTCTGATTCAAAGCATTTGTATTGTCGGACTCCTTGCCAAAACAGTAAGTTCATATGGCGTTCCGTTCGAAGTTGAGCAAAAAGATTATATTTGGGCTTCCAAGGCTGAGCAGGGTTCAGTCTATATTGTATTGCAGCTTGCTTGAAGTTTCCCGCATAGATTCAAAGGTAGAGCATTTTGCCCCGGGCTTATCTGTGTAGACAAACAACTTCACATTACCCTACAAAAAATAATCCAACGGTGTTAAATCTCACGATTTTGAAGGCCACACCACAAGCCCACGATGTGAAATAATGCGCTCACCAATAACCTCCGTCAATAAATTGATTGTTTCTTTGGCTGTCATGTCAGTTTGCAACGTCTTATTGGAAGAAAATGTCAGACACATCAACTCCCCGCAAACCAGGCAGGAGTAAGTTATTGATCATGACTCTATAGCGTTCCCCATTGATTCTTACATTATGGTCGGCTGCATTTTGGTAGAAATATAAACCAATGATTCCCTATGTCTGTGTACTCTATAGTCAATTTTAGAGAATTTCAGCAATGACTCCTGGATTGTTAAAGTACACATTCAACCAAAGACCTCATTTTGGAGTCATTCACGGAAAGTGCGAGGCTCTTGATGCTCGTTCAATTTCAATTCCTTGCAGGTGTGGGATTTTGTAAGCCCGCAAAGCAAGACCCTTCCACAAGGTGTTCCATAAAGTGGATGACACAGCACGAATTGTTGCGTGTGTTGGCAGATGAGCGCATTCGGATCTCTGCTTCTTAGGAGGAATAACATTTTGAAGGCGCACTGTACAGCATCTCTGAGAATGGTCGTTATCTATTAGACTACACCCGGCCGTGGTACTGATTTATGGTTACTCGAATTACCGACTTTGTTGGGCGATTAAGTCGACCTAATATAGTAAATTTTTTGGTAATAAATTTGCACGATGTTTGGCAGCGGAACTGTGCATAAATCAAGTAAAAATAGTAAAATAGACCATCTTCGAAAAAAGTATTGAAAACCGCACGTCTGAAAAAAACATCCTTAGATTAACCATATTACTTACTGGCTGTAGGGATTATGACGAAAAACGCTTGAATGCTACAACAAAAGAAAAATGATAGAAGTGACAGCCGTTTCGGAGATCATCACATCTCCTCATCAGATTTCTTATGTCAGAGATCGAACCAAAGGATTCTGTTTTAACAGACGAGTGCTCACCCATTGGGCTAACATCAGCCGTAAAGGTGCATAACTTCAGTTAATAACGCCGCCGCAAGGCCCGTGCAACCGGCGGTGGTTGTAAAGTAAGACTGCTTAACGGTTATAAAAAATGCCTAATAATTTTTTCCAAAACGGAAGACACAGTTTTTTTTTTAAATTATTTTCTAAATTTATTATGTGACATATTTGTTTACTGAATTGCTTGGCATTCGCCGTTAAAGCTACATACCAATTGGAGGAATACAAGTTTACATCCTTTGATTGTTAAAAACTTATGGAACTAATGCGTTGCTCATATCCTACAGACACATACAAATAAATACTAAATCTCTTAATGTCAAATTAAAGCTAACAATTAATTCAAATAGAAGAGTTAAATTTTACATAAAGCAAAATGCGCAGAAATCCAGAAATCTAAATGGATACACTAACACTACTACACGTGCATACATACACACAAATATTAATATAGTACAATACATACGAGTATATCACAGACAACAAATAAAGCAAAGACTCACTGCATGCATGTGTGTGTGTGCAAGTGTGTGTGTGTGTGGCCAACACGTTACGGCGATTGGGTTGTGGCAATTATGAAAGCCCGCCCACCGCCGCTTTTCAACATGCGCCGCGGAAGACAGTCGATTCTGTTGATATTGTTACAATTGCAATTGAATTGTTTTTCGGTTTCACTATGTACATACATATAGGGGTTATGTAGGTAAATGCTTAACTAAAACAGCGCCAGTCACCAAGGACGCCACATCGGGTCGGACGAACAGGAGTCCACTGACACCACAGACGCAGTATCGCGCGTCGAACAGCTATCCACAGTCGTTACATCGATGAGATCCTGCTCCTTGCTGGCTGACGTTGCAGCTGCAGCGGCGACGGCACTTGCATATGTCCTTTGCGTCGCCTCACTAACAGCGCTGTAATAATCCAATGGTGATTTGGCGCTTCTCGGCGATTCGAGTGAACTCAGCGATTCACCGCATTCGCTGTAGTTGTAACTTGCCGACGGCATTGGCATTTGAAGTGTTAAGGGTAGTGGTAGCAGGCTGACGTTGGCGCTTGGTGGCATTGTGCTTACGGCCGTTGCGACAGCAGACGAGCGCAATAATTGATGTTGCATTTCGATGAGACGTGTCGAAAGGAATTTCATTATTTTACCACCCAATTCATCGGCCTGACACTGTTGCAGCAGCACTTGTGAGATTTGATCGGCCGCATGCACATAACCGGAACGAAAGGACTCGATATGCGCGCTGGCTTGTGACTGCAACGATAGGCTGCCGCGTTGTTTGAGCTTGCGCATATGCTCCACGGTTAGCTCGAGTATGTCTGCTTTCTCTAGACGTGTGACATGTTCACCTTCTTGCTGCAAACACTCCACCATCAGATCCTTCAGGTCGTCGAGACACTTGTTGATGCGCGCGCGTCGTTTACGTTCCAGCAGTGGTTTCATCACCTTACGGTATTGATATGTTTTAGACATTTCCATGACCATTTTTTTTTGTTGCTGTGTTTTGTGCTTTGGTTAAATGTTTAATTTAATATGATTTTGATTTAAATAAAATCTTTTCTTTGTTTTTGTTGTATTAACACGCGCTCGTTATCCGTGTTTATGAAAGCTCCGTTGGGAGGAATTCGACGTTTTGAATGCTTGTTTCTTGTTCACGTGTCGGTTTCAAAATGAGCCAGCAACCTGCTCCGTTCATAACTTTTATACAATGTGGGGGTTTTCGGCGCTCATGGTGGTTGGTTGCACGATCGCTGCAAGAGATCATCCATCGGTGGTCGTCTGTAGCTTGCCATTGTGTGTATGTGTGTGTGTATATATGTGGCAAAAGTCTTTAGTAGTGGTAGGTAGCAATGTCGGCGACTACTGTGCAGTGGCAACGCTAACTGATGGCAGCGTCGGCATGTCGTTGCTCAAAGGAATTGTAGAAGTTGAGAGAGCAAGAGAGCGATAAAGAAATGATTAATGCGATTGAAGTGTGGCAGAAAAGGTGCTGCCTCTTTTTCGGTCCGGTTTGTGTTCATATTGAAGATGAAGGATGTAAAAAATAAAGGGGTCTCATATAGACTCTTTCTCAGATTAAAAAAATCAGAAAAGTAGCGCCATTATACATATATGTAACCATTGAAGCACTTTTCGGGCGAGCTACTCATCCAATTTGTGGTATGCGCCTTGATGTCTCTCCAACAAATGGATAGACCTATAGTTTATTCTAAGCCACCTCCGAACGGCCAATCGATTTTTATAAAAGGAGCTTTTCATTTCATGTCAAAAATAAACTAGGAGCGGTTGACATTCCCTACCCAGGGGAGACCGCAATTAGAAAAATTAATATTACCAAAATTTGGATGTTGGTCGAACTGGTACTCATATTCTGGCCTTCAGAATGGCAGCACGCAATCGTAAACACTCGGTTATTTTGGTCGTCTTTAAGCATTATTAGCACGACGTTAATGTACCAAAAACCTTAAGGAATTTTTTTTCCGAGTTATATCCCAAAATCACTAAAATTGGAAGGACTATCGCTCTATTCCGTAAACCAACTGGATTGCCCATCAGGTTACTTTCCATTATCTGAGAGAGGCATTGATATAAATCGTAGACACTGTAATTTTTACTACTCCATCAGCGAACTTATATACAAGTATTTTCAGTTCGAGATTGAACGAAATCCTTAGCGAACTCGAAATTTAAGTCCACTACAGCCTGCAGCGAGTAGAATTTGAAGAAGGGGAGCTCTATAATAGTCAAAATTGGCGTTTTGCAACTGAGTTGGGTTTCTCATCCGCTTTGTGTTGCGAGACTTTGTTTTTTTGTCGTCGATTTTTTTCTTCGTCGCCCCGAATGATTGATTTTTTCCATTTCAAAAAGACGTTGGGAGGAGTTAACGATCCCTGCCAAGAAGCGACTAAAAATAAAAAAAGCTTTTTGTTAAATAAAAGGAGGTTAGACCTAGGGTTAGTTCGACGAAGGGATGACGACAGCCCTTGGCAGGCTAAATTGGGGTCAGCTCCGGTGCGTGGAACCGGCTGTCGTGTAATCTGGATATTGTAGTCGACTAAAGTCCTGCCTATCTAGACTTGACGGATGTCGTGCATGCAATAAGTCACCGAACCACCCTTTTTGTGCCCCCTAAATACACCTCATCTAAAGACTCTTTTCCTCTGGTTCAAACCCGTCGAGGTCGTTAGATGACCTCGATAACTTAGACTGATCTTAACTGGGGCAGTTTTGTCTGAACCGGTAAAGAACAATGACACGCTGCTAGAGCTTTACAATATTGAAAATAATATAGACTACTGCGGATTGATACAGTAGAAGCATAGTCGACGAAAGAGTTTCAGGATAAAGTCGAAATTTTTTACGAAACTTGCTCGCCCCACATTATGTACGAAATTTCCCCTAAAGGGAATTTCAACATTCATTAACAACACTTTCGGCATTACCGTACAACGAATTCATCCCCTCATAGATTAGCGTGTATGTGACCAACAACGATTTGGCCCCCATACCACACTACACGTATAATCAAAAGAGAGCAGAGCCAGTTCATAAGCCGCGCGAGCAAGTGATCGTGCGCGTCGCTTGTGCCAATCAAATGAGCACAAAACACGATAGAGAACTGCTCAGCAAATAATGAATATCACATACTCGTATATAATGGAGAGCTGATGAAATTGCCTGGTGTGGGGCACGCATACCAATACAGCCGATGGACGCTCGGTCGGTTGGTTGGTTGGCTGGTTGGTTGGTTGGCCCCACCACGCGGGCATGTCTTACTTATTGTCAATGATGACAGCTCTCTGCCGCTGCCACTGACTTGTGTCATGCTGTTGTTGCTATTAGTATAAATGCTGTTGCTGTTGCTGTTGCTGTTGCTGCTGCAGCTGTTTTTGTTGTTGTTGGTGTTGTTGTCGATGTGCTTTCGTAAATCGCATTGTGTATTTTGTTTGTACGCTATACACACTTTTCCAGACCGTGGGAAACAGATTTGTCGTGTGTTTCCCACACGATGGACGGATGGATGGATTGCGATATGTTGCGATGCGCGACGATGACGATGACGACGACGACGACGACGACGTCGGCAACGGTTGTAGCGATGTGCGATCCGATGAATTGCTGTTGAAATGTTGCCTTTGTTACTTTGCGTTCAAGTGTATTGTTGTTGGCTTTGCTTGGGGTTTTTAAGTATATGTATGTATGTATATTTTTTTTATCTGTTGCTTTACGTTTCAGTTATTGGGCTGCCGGTTGTTTGGTTGGGTTCCGCACTTTGCGCCGTTCTGCTGTGCCCTGCTCGGTGTTTTTAAAAGTCGCGCAATTACGCTGAGGCATGCTCGACTGATGATGATGGCATGAATTTCGTTGAAGCGTATCAATTGAGTTGGTCGTTGCGCGGCCGTTGGTTGTCTGTCAGACGGGTCAGATGGACGGACGCTCGGTCGGCAAGTGAATCGATCACTTGGTTGCTTCACACTCACTCTGGCTGTTTGCTGGAATTTGTTGGGTGGCCGTTGGGATGGGACAGTGGGGCTGTGCAGCGTTTGAAGCATTGCTTTGTTTATTTCACTGCGAGTTTTTTATTTCAAGTTTTTTTTCTGTTTGGTGAATCCATCGTGGTTGCTTATTTTATTCTGTTTTTTTTTTTTTTTGTTTGTACGCGGATCGCATGGATCACACGGTTTGCTTTGTAACAGTGCAGCGGCATTTTGCAGAAAACTTGCGGGCCCCTCGTTGCCATTTGGGCATATGTACGATAAAATATAATTCAACGCCACCGACTGGGGTGGGGTGCCAAAAGCCATGAAACACGCACAATTACATTAGTTTTGAACCATCAGCCGGCAGTCATTGTTTGGCTCCGACAAGTGATGTGGGATTTGCTGTTGGTGTCGTATGTTTATGGCCTCATGTCACTTGCGCACCCACGGGGCAGTGGGGAAGGGACAATTGTTTCATTGTAAACGTATGTAAGTATGTGTTTATTAAACTTAGTCACCCAAAAATTTACGATACGCTCCAGCTTTTGTTTACTTCTTTTTTGTTTTCCAATGAAATTCAAGCGGAATTGTTTTGATTATCTCCATATGTATGTATGTATATTAAGGGTGTTTTTTTTTCTGGACGAATAGTTTTTTTATGCCTTTTCCATTTGCGCTGATTTCTACGTGTCGGGTTCCAAACCCAGCGCACAACCTCGCTAGGCGAGTAGTTTTAAAGTTTTTACACAAGACCGACGCCCGTTTGCAGCCGCACCTCTGGTAAACAGACGCTGCAATTAGACTTCAGCAGACCCTTAAACCGAATACGTAAGTCGGAGTGACTCCACTTAAGTTTCTTCGCTCATTAGCCGTGACCCAAGACCACAGAAGGGTTGCTCACGTTTCCAAGGTGCGCGACGTGAACGCAAGAGTAGGAAATGAGCATAGCCTCGCAACTGTAACAGCATACCCAGTAGCTTGTCTACACCCCATTACACCATTGCCGACGTATAAAGTCTAATTCGTGAAAGACTGAAGCCGACTGAAGCCGAACGATCTTTAAACGCATCGCACTTGCTGTGAATGGACCCAAAAATAAATGACCACAATTTTCTTAAGAAAACATCGTTCAGCGATAAAGCTCACTTTCGGTTTAATGTGTACATTGAAGCACAAAATTGTCGCATTTGGAGTGATGATCATCCAATAGCCGTTGTTGGAACGGCGTCAAATCCTTAAAAAAGTCACTGTTTGGTGTGATCTGTGGGCAGAGGGAAACATGGGAGCATATTTCTTCAAAAATAATTACGTTCATTATTTTACAGTCGAAGTGGAACTATGCTCCATCATTTTCTTTCGGACCCTAATTGGAGGCTGTTGAAGTGTACGACATTTGATTCCAACAAGACGGTACTATAAATGAAAACGACTTATCTAAAAAAACACCTTTTAAAATAAGTAAACATTTGTTTTATATAAAACAAGAGTAGTCGACTTAAGAGCCGCTAAAATTCAGTTCAAACTCAAGATCTGTCCCCAAACAACATCCCAAGGTTTGGTGAAGACGAGCTTCAATGAAGAAAAGACATAAATTTAATTTATTAAAAAAAAAAACATATATTTTCTATTGTTATCTAAACACAGTGTAGTGGTTTTCCGGCACATAAATATTTAATGCATATTTTTAACCACAACGACTTGTTTTTTTCTTTGTTCCTGTGTAGACTGATAAGCTAACACATGCAAGCTTTATCGGAATAAATATGTTAAGGAGGAAAAACTGCTGATTTCTTACTGCAAACATTTAGTATTTCACTTGTGGTTATCTAAATTGATATGTATGTTTTCTCGGAACCACTCAAAAGGTGTAGCATCTGACCGCGAGCGGTCGCCTTTAGGGCACTGAGTAGGCTCGCTGTGCTCCCAGACTTCACACTTAATACTTAATTCATCACATTCCACTTTACGAGTACATAAGGCGAAAGCTCGGAGCATCGTGGAAGATATGACAACTCAGACGTCCCGACGTCTCTCGTTAAGGCTTTGCCATTATATCTTAAAAACTATTTCCCAATTCCAATCCCAATTTTCAGCCAATTTCTTCTGTAAATGGCAGCGCACAACGCGCTGAATATGCTTTTCCATGGCGTTAATCGTCTCAGGTTCAGCATCGTA